CCAGTAGTAGCACAGCTCCAGTTGAACAAGTTGATTTTTAAAATGATACAAATGAGAGGATGTACACTAAAAAAGAGTGGGGGCATGTTTTAAAATGGGAGTTAGGATTCAGTATAGGAGTTGGGATTGTGGTAGGTGGTTTGTTTTTATACATTAAAATTTTCAATTGTTTCTTTTATTGTCTCTGGGTTTTGAATCACAGATTTTCTCTAAAATTAAATTGGAAGTCATTTATGTTTTCTGCTAATACTTGTATCTCCTTTACATTTATATCTCTAGTTCAGTTGTATTTTATTTTGATGTAAAGTATTAATAAGGATCTTTTATCTTTTTGCAAATGGCTACTTATTTTTTCAGCACTGTTTAAGTCTTTTATTTTTTGCTCCAGTGACTTGAGATGGCACCTTGAGATGACACCAGTATACCAAGTTCCCAAAGGCATTTCTGTCTATTCCTAGGCTATTCTGTTTCACTGGTCTTTCGAGATATTCATGTACCAATATAAGTGTTTTAATTGTGCAGACTTTATAGAGACTTTATATGTTTTAATGTCTAATAAGGCTAGTTTCTTCGGTGTTTCCATTTTTACTGTTTTTCTTCTTAAATCCCTAATATCCCTAAAATGCCACCAAAACACCCTGCACCTTCTAAGGCTTCATTAGTATAGTATTTTATTAAATTAAATTACATTAACTGCAGAAGACATAGGATATTTAGGGTTTAAATTAGAAAAATAATTATTTATAGGCATTTTTCTGACCATATATGAAATTCTTAGTTTTTCATAATTTGTGGGTGCTCTAGGAATGCAACCCCTGCAAATTTTGGGGGTCCACTGTATTTGTTTTCTACATTGTACTTGCCAAAAATGAATACCCTGAACTTAATCATGAGGAAATATAAACCCAAATTGAGTGACATTTTATAAAAGAACTAATACTCTTCAAAGGAGCCAAAGTCATGAACAAAAAAGTATGAGGAACTGTCTCAGATTAAAATATGGATACAACAAATGCACTGTGCAGTCCTAGATGGAATTTTGGTCCATAAAGGAGCTTGGCACAAGTGATGAAATTTGAATGAAGTCTGTAGATTAGGTAATAATAATGTTTCAATATTAACTTGCTGGTTTTAATTTTACTGTGTTCATGTAAGATATAGACATTTGGGGAAACAGGACAAAGGATATAAATAAATTTTTTATTTTTGCAATTTCTTTGTAAGCCTGAAATGATTTAAATTTCAAAGGTAAACAAAATAGGATGAGGGCTGGGGATTTAGCTCAGTGGTTCCGCTGCCTGCCTTGCAAGCACAAGGTCCCAAGTTCGATCCCCAGTACCCAAAAAACCCCCAAAAAACCCATGAAAAATATTTAAACATAGTGGTGCCTCTCAGCACTCAGGGGAGTCTGAGGCAGAGGGATCAAAAGTTCAAGGCCAGCCAGGGCTACACAGCAAGACCTTGTCTCAAAAAAATTAGAAAAGAAATTTAAGTTAGATACAATACATATATATACACACACACACAGAGATTATAATTTACTTAGCAAACATTTAAATAGTTCATATACAATAAATCTCTTTGCCAAGTGGAGAGGTGCACTTGCTACAGAAAATATCCAAGCAAATGGGTGAGCAAGACAGTCTTGCTGTGGGAGGGAGACTTGTGGAGACATTTCATACAGCAGTGGCTTTGACTGAACTGTCAGTATAAGAATCAGGCTCTTAGTCTACAAAGTCTCTTATGAGGACCCGCCAACCACGTCTAGGCGATGTGGGCCTCATTTCAGATGGCAGGCAGGAGGCCTGCTATCTTAGTCTGTTTTGGCCAGATGAAAAGATCCATGGTGTAGGATACACATTATGGTCACTGATTATCGACGATGCCATAGTCATCCACCTGGCCTCTGAAGTTGCCCGTGATGATGTTAGTTAAGATGCAAGTTTAGTAACTGGTTGAACTCAGTTTTACCAAGTTGTACTGTTTTTTAAATGAATGTGGAAGAATGACTAGGAGATTATTAGATGGCAATTTAGGTAACAGTGTGGGATCCTGGTTCTGGTTCTTGTCTAACCAGGAGTGTTATCTTTTCTGTGCGTCAGTTTCCTCAACTACACCTTGAGATAACAGTCTCTATCACATATGCCACTGTGAGAACCAAATGAATATACAAAAAGTGTGTGGTAATACTGATCACATTATAAATGCTAGCTGTTACTTTTAAAGAGACCAGTATATAAATCATTACAACAAAATATTTTAGGAGCAATATTGTACAAACACGCAGAAAAAACTGACAAATCACTTAAAACTGTACTTAGGACTATCC